CTGCAGGTAAATGAGAAGTGTGAGGAGAGACTGAGATTTTCCTTCCAGTTTAAGTTTTAATTTTGAAAAGTGTAAAGAGTAAAAGCATCTGCAGGAGTCCCCTCAGTAGAGGCTTCTGTACTAAGCACTTTCTTGTGGTTCATGTTCTTTGTGGGGTGTCAGCTGATTTCAGGCATTGCATCTGATTACTTGGGAAGTAATTACACGGACGGAATAACCTAAGGAAATAAATTACAGGAGGAGATGCAGTACTTCTTTAGAGAAATTATCTATTAAAAAAGTTAAATACATAAAATAAAGGTAGCTGTATTTTCCACAATATGTTGGTGCTGAAAGGTCTGACATTGATTCTAACTTTTTTAGAAATGAAATAGTGAATCATTGTTTTAGAGACCTTTTCTGGGAAAGGAACTGAAGGTAGTATAGGGTAAAAATCATATGAAGGAAACGGATGTTTTTTCCTGCACTGTGCGCTCTTTTGTAGTTACCATGAGATTTTGAGTCATCCGTGGCAGAAGAGTCATTGCTTCTCGATTGAACTTTGAATTTTAAGTGTCCTAACACAGATATGTCTTGAGAATATGAGAGTCATGGCTTTTGAGCCTGTAATATACTGTAGTTCAAGGGCTGCAAAAGCAAGGGTTGAAATACTTGTGTAAACAGTTTGAGTAGTATGTTTAAAAACAAAATATTCCCTTTTTTAAAATTTAAAAAATTCCCTTTTTGTAAAGCTCCATGTAGTCAGTCAGATACCCTGTGTACAGACTAAGATGTGAAGGAAAACAAAAAAAAGTCTTTGTCCTGCTTTTAAAATGTGAAGGTGGTGGGCAGGGCAAGGTGGTAATTTACAGTTGTCCATAGTTTAATAGGTCCTTGCAATCATTTTGACCATAATGTTGCCAAAAGCAGCTGTATTTCTTACTCCCATATACTGGTTCACTGGAGGCTTGGGAGGGGGCTGGGCTGATGAACTGTGAGTTCTCCTTAGTCCTTTAATTTAAAAAGCGGGCAAAATAATCTTATTTCTGTACTTTTAATGTTAAATACTGTTTCAGGTAACATTTGAGTACATAGGATAAGTGATGCCTCGAAACAGACATTTACTGTTCCCTTCTGAGTGTTTTTAGCTTGGTTTCTATGGCAATGAAACCTATGCAGAGTGTCAGGCCTCATCTTCCCCTGTCTCCAAAAATAACTTCTAAATTTACCAGCAAGTATAAGCCAAAATTAAACGGGAAGAGGGAGGCTCAAAGGTAGGCAGATTCCTACTGGTTTCAAGCAAACTGGTGTCTCTGCAGAGGAGAATCAGTACCTTGTGAAGAGAAAGTTAGAGTTGCTACAAGTCAAAACGATATAACCTACCCTGCTGGCATAGGCAGAACTTCCAGCTTGCCATGGCAAGTTTTGCTGTGTTTGTGGGGCTTCACTAGTTTTTTTTTACCCAAGTGGATTCCCCTGAGAGGAGCTGCTGTTACTGCCTTGAGGAGAGAGTAGGAGACAGGACACTTGAACGAGAACTAACAGAAGCTGGTTTCTGTTCATGAAACAACTTGTGTTTATTATTCTAGCTGTAAATACTCACAGCTGCTTAATCCACTTGTGATTTTTATGATGGAGTATTCTGTAAGGAGTGTTATGATTTTTTCTTTAAGTTGCTGCATCAGAATAACGTTGATGCTTTTCAGAATTTCTCTGTTCAGTAGAGGACAAGATAAATAGAAATGCTTGGCCCCTGAATATAAGTCCTACAAAATAAAGAACTTTTGAATGCACTGAAAGGCATATCAGAACTCTTTTGTATGGAGCCCTTAGATGGCTTTTTTCCTGTTTCTTCATTGTAGTTGCTGTAACAATTTCCTGACTTGTTAACTCGGGTCTTCAAGGGCAAGAAGTCTCACATGCATGTTCTTCTCCCGTCCTCACGTTACCTCCATTGTAACTGTCATTAAATTACAGATACTTTGGAGAATGGTAACTTTCAAGAAAGCATATGGAAGACACAAAATCGATTTATTTGATAACAGCAAAGTGGGTTTTGAGTAATAATATGCTCTTTGACCAGTGAGCTGCTCTGTGTGTCTGCAGGATAGCGATAACCATGTAGTATGGCTTGGTAGTAGAAAAAAAATGCAGTGATTGAAGTTAGAAGGCGAAAGGAAAGGAAGAATGAAGGTAACAGACAGAAATCCATTAATTAGGCTTTCCTTCTTCCCCTGCTCATAGGCCAGGTTGTTGAGGTGGGGTAGTCAGAACCATACAGACATCCCAAATGATGGTGGGTGTAGCAGCCCTGAGTGTAAAAGTATGCCAGGTACATTCTGTTATTTGTCTCATTGCTAATCAAATTACATTATTATTTAAAAATGAGTTTATTTTAGCTATATCCATTGCAATACAAGATTTTTTTTTTCTTGCGAAAGATTGTACTTAATTTAGAACCATAACATTTATAATTCTCAGGCTGTTTTTCTGACCTACTCTACTGTTTTAGAATCAAGTGTCTTTTCTTCTCACTCGCTTTCTGTATCCCTAAATATATATGGTTGTTTTGAAATGGTTTTGTTTTCTTTGGCTTTAACTACTCTAAATGGCTATACATATTTCTCACATTACTACTTCTTCTGGATCACTGATTAGCCATTAAATGACCTGATTAAATAACCCTATCGGTTCCATTGGAGATGACTTCTTGACAGTATGTGCTCGTGTATGCCAGTGTGTATATATATACTTACGTATGTTTGTGCATATATATGTAGTTTATAGGTATATAAAAATCTTTGAAACTGTAGGTTTTTGAATACAATATTTAGAGGGGCTCTTGAAAAATGTTGGAAAATGCTGTAGAAAGTTACCTTATCACTTTTTCTAATTTGACTCCTTTAAAGAGTGTGGTAGAAGCCACATGAAAATTGCACGACATTGTGCTGTTGCACTTACTTCTTTTGAAGCATTTTCTATTTTCCCTTGAACTTACCTTTCTAATTTACGTCCAGACTGTTGAAACGTCTTCTCTGCTTATAATCCCTGCTGGTTTTGGTTATCCTTAGTTTTTTGTTAGAAAGAAAAGCACAGAATTTGTAACCTGCAGAACTTGAACGTGAGCCAGCGATGTGCCCTTGCTGCAAAGGCAGCTGATGGTACCCTGGGCTGCACTGGGCAAAGCATTGCTAGCAGCTGGAGGAAGGTGACCCTTCCCTTCTGCTCAGCACTGGTGAGGCCACGGGTCTGGGCTCCCCAGTATAAGAGGGACATGGACATACTGGAAGAGAGTACAACAAAGGGTCCCCAAAATTATGTCTTTTCTCTGAAGAAAGACTGAGAGAGCTGGGACTGTTCAGCCTGGAAAAGTCTCAGGGAAGATTTTTTCACTGTATATAAATACATGAAGGGAGGGTGGAAAGAGGACAGAGCCAGGCTTTTTTGGTGGTGCCCAGTGACAGGACCAGAGACAATGGGCACACACTGAAACACAGGACGTTCCCAGGATCCCTCTGAACATCAGGAAACACCGTAGGAGTTTTTGTTTTGGTTTTTTTTTTTTATAATGCGAGGGTGACTGAGCTCTGGCACAGGTTGCCCAAGGAGGTTGTAGAATCACAGAATCACAGAACGTTAGGGATTGGAAGGGACCTCAAAAGATCATCTAGTCCAATCCCCCTGCCGGAGCAGGAACACCTAGATGAGGTTACACAGGAAGGCGTCCAGACGGGTTTTGAATGTCTCCAGAGAAGGAGATGGAGAGTTTCCATCCTCGGAGATGCTCAAAAGCCATCTGGACACGGTCCTGGGCAGCTGACTGTAAGTGGCCCTGCTTGAGCAGGGGGTTGGATCAGATGATCTCCAGAGGTCCCTTCCAACCTCAGCCATTCTGTGAACTTTGATATGCTCTGGATATAAAACAATTTTGGTATGAATGTCACACTATTTAACAAAGAACTTGGCATTCTTCTGAGAATGTGTTCTTCCCAATAATCTGATTGTAGTTTGCCTAATATGAAATGAAGGTAGATACATTATTAATATTTTTTGTTATTGAAATGAAAATAATATGTTTCTGTAGGATATTCCTAGAAACTACCAATAGTTATCTTTTTTCAGATGTGTTGAACTTACCTTATTTTTTGGGTTTTAAATATGGTTCTTCAGTAGTTGGCTTCTACACGTCTTATCTTGTAGTTTACACTAGTGGGAACTAGCACTTTAATGCTAGTTCTCTTTCTTCTTTAAGTTTGTTTCGTATTCTAAACACCATTGAGGTAGCTAAAATAATCAGAAATACCTTCTGTAAGAAAATATATTAGTTCCTGGGTCCGAATTCCACATTTTTAATCAATTTTCTTGGTTATCCAAATTCTTGTTTCTATATATGCTTAACTGAACATGTCCTTTACAACTTCATTTTAAAGAACCAAACAAACCAGAAACTTAAATTTTTGTAGGGAAAGGATTCTTTACAAGTTGTAAAGTACAGCAGAATGTTTGAAAAGTCTCAGATTTTGAGTGGAGAAGCTCTCTGACAAGATGAAGTGTATAAAAAATTCCTGGCCGTAGGAGTAGAAATGTCTTATTTTTTTAATTCCCTTGGTTTAATACAATAAAAGATAATGTTACTCACCTGTGTTATTTTAAAATGGGTTAATTTTATGGATTTTGGAGAAAAAGTGTAATGCTGTTAAAATATTCATATAATAGAAATAACTTTATAGTCAGCATTTTCCCATATAGTAAACACTTTTTAAAAAAACAGATCTTTAAGACTGTGAACATCACTGATGAGAAGGAATCCATTTCAGGGGAGGCAGAGGGCAAATACAGTTAAGATTGTCTTTAATTGTTTGCTAGAAAGGATTTAATTAGACTACTTAATGCTGTTTTGTAAGTAATTTTTTGTTTTGTTGAAGAATAATCTCTCTTTTTTGAAGACGGTTCTGCAAGTACTGGCTTGTCATTTCAAGTGTTCCCTAATGCATCTGAACTTTGTGTGTTTCTCCTCTCAGCTTCACAATGAGGATGATCCCCCAGAGTCTTCAGCAGCTGAGCAGCCTTCCACATCTGCAGAGACAACGCAGGTTCCCCAGACAGCAGCCTCACCCGAAGCAGATACTTCCCCTCCACCTTACTGTAGCATAGCTGTAGAAGCAGCTGCAACTTCAGGTATTTCTTACACAACAGCTTGTGTGTGTGAATCAGCACTCGGGTCAAAGTGGTACGATGCTGCGGTGCTGGGTTTTATTCTTCCTACGCATATAATTGCAGTAAAAAGTTACGCTTTCATGCACAGCCCTCTGTTGGGTTTGTTCAGAAGCAGCACACTTCTAAACTACGCTTATTGTTCCAAATGACTAGACTAAATGGGTGTTCATTAATTAGTTCAATAGGTTTTATTTAAGTCTGCGTGTAGTTCAGTTCCACATTTAATCTACATCTTTGACTAGTGCTCCATTATTTGATCTCATTAGCAATTTTTGTTGCCTCTCTATTAAAAAAAAAAGAAAAAGCCCAACAAAACAAAAAAACCAACCAACCAACCAAAAAAAAAACCAACAAAAAACCCCACAACGCACTGACTTGTCAAAACTCAAACTTCTTAAGCATGTGCTATCATTTGGTGAAAATACTGCCATGAAAAGATTCATTTTGCTTCAAAGACTCTTGATAAAACTTTTTATGAAAAATGAGTTTTTCTCATGAGGTTGTGACTTTTCTTTGGGGTATGGGAGACCTAACAGAAGGCAATGTCAAAGTGTCTGTTTAAGCAAAGTTGCTTGAATTTGCTTCTCCCATGTGCCAGAAACTATTTTAGAAGTAATATCCAACCTAATTTAATTTTTTAATATTGATTGGAAAAGCAATTTCCTGTCCCTGTTTTTTGAGACAGTGTTTGAAAGTATAATACATACCTATGCAGTGTTATCCCTATATATAACATCTTTCTGGTGATGCACTGACAGATCTTTTTACCATGTGATCTGTGCTGACAAATCTTTACCACGTAAGCAATCTTTTTACAAACTACTGCTGGCTGTAGGAGGAAGCCCAAGGTATTTTTAAAATATTTTTTTATTCACTTTGCTTATAATTCTATTCTATGTCATGATGCTTCACTGTTTCTATGTATAAGAATGAAGTCTGTGGTCCATTTTGATAGAAGGAACATTTTTAAAATAATGCAATGAAATTGAAACACTGGAAAAAACAGATTTCCATAGAACAACTGCAGTTAGCAACAAGGCCATGCTAATAAAAACACAGCATGATTATTACTGGACTTAAGTAACTAGTTGATGGTGATAGTGAAAAGCTTCTTTTTAGGATGTTTCTGTGCATGTCTTTTGTATGGTTTGATAATGGTTGGAATGCCTAAGGATGTAACTGCAAGTACAGTTTTTTTGTTCATAAATTTGTTGGCTCCTTGCAGCATCTAGGTTAAGGTTTCTGCCTTGAGTAGCAACTGAAAGCACCATCAAGCTGTTCACTGTTTTATTTTGTAAAAATAAAGGGGTTTTTTTTAAAGCTTAAAAGAACTTGAAATACAAATATCACCAATTTCAGCTTCTGTTGAAAAAAAAAATACTTTAAAGCTCAGTAGCTATGTGTATGTAAAATTTAATATTCTTCACATCTTTCTGGCTTAAAAATGTGTAACCTCTTTATTTTGAACAGAACCACACAATGAATTTTACCCTGTACCACCTCCATACAGTGTAGCTACCTCTCTTCCTACTTACGATGAAGCAGAGAAGGCCAAAGCTGCAGCAATGGCAGCTGCTGCAGCAGAAGTTGCCCAACGAGTAAGTGATACAGTTCTGCTTTATTTCAATGTTGTGAAAAGTGTGAGGCTAATATAATTATTTTCAACAGTTGGCCCCATGTTATGGCCTATTTATTAAAATAATGGTGGAATGGTGATTTAAATGTTTTGGATGTTTAGGTTTTGTATAGATAGTGTTAGTTGTAAAGTACTATGAAAAGTGTGTCATATTCACTCTTCTCTGAGGCATAGCTGCTGTCTAAGCAGCAAATTTTGCCCTGTTTTAATAGTTTAGCCTGTATTTTGTAATCTTTTAATTAGATATCCACTACTAATATTACGGTGTATTGTTATTGTTAATATTTAATGTTTCAGATGATAAGAAAAAAAATTAAAAATAGACCTTTAGAGAGGAAAGAGAATTACAACAGTCTGGAAGGGGCAAAACCTCAAATAATGTAGATCTTTTTTAAAAGGAAAGCTCTCTGTTGCTTATTTCATGAAGACATCAATACTGAAGTTCAAAGAAACATCCCAAGTACTTAGAACAAACAAAAAAACCCACACCATGAGTTACAGTAAACATTAAATTAAGCAATAGGTATACAGTCATTGCTTATAGTTTTGTAAGAATTAACATTGTAAAGAATAGTGTTCAAAATAGAAATTGGATATCTGCAATTAGTGTTAAATGTTAATTTTGTAAGGAAAGTTCTTCCTTTTTTTTTTTTCTCCCAAGTTTTGGAATGTGGAAACTCTACTGTAGGGTAGTATTGACCACAATATACTATACTCAAATTAGGCTTACAGCGCTTTCACTGAAAATCTCCACCTTGAGATTAAATGTGATTGCATTTGAGATGCGTTTGAAGTCTTTCTGACTGCAGTGTGCTTGTGACTGGAAAATAAAAGGTTCTGTTCACCAAGTGGGAGGCCACTCTCATTCCTTGACTGCTGTGCAGTAATCGCAGTGCACAACACTCACTGTAAGGCATGCACAGCTAAGGTTAAAGTGGATTTGTGTAACATGTGAAGGTGTTACACAAATCTGTTTCACTAAATGCAGCAGGGAACCAGGAACATGTGCAGGGTTACTTGTCAAGTTTCTGCTGTGAAGTGATGATCCCAGTTGTAACCTTTAACAGAAGTTGTAATCTGTCCATACTGCTTGTCTTGTCATGTAAGCAAAAATTTTGCTAAAATACTGGTCTGAATGAAACCCTCAATCTGAAATTATAAACCTTTGAATTTACTTGGAACATTATCAACCCAAACCTTAACTGTTAGGGCAGCATTACCAGTCCTGTGACACTTCAGACAGGAAGGACATGCACAACTCTCTGGCAAGACTCTTGTTGCTTTTAACTTTGTGTGTCTAGAACCCTAAGGGGTGAAAGTTTCAGACATACAAGCAGTCTTCCTTGACCTGAAATTCACAAGGAAAACCTCAGAATAGGGTTCAGCCAATTTCAAGAATAAAGCTGAGCAAACAAAAAAAAAAAAGTTTTTTCCTTGTCATATGAAAGGTTTGGTTTTTTTTTTTATTTTGAAGAACTCTTTTTCACATGTTCAGGTCATTGTGTCAGAAACAATTTTTGCCTTTCTGTAGAAAACTGGCCTGGTTTTGGCCAAATTACAAGTTTTTGAGAAACGAAGTTCCACAGTTGATACCTACAGCTTTCAATTTAGTAAATGGGTGGAGTTTGTCTTGCCTGAACTAGCTGAGACTGCTCATAGCTCTGAAGAGGATGGGACAACAGATGTGCTGTTGCCAGAAAACATTCCCAAATGTTCTGTATCGGAGTGGGATTACCCGACTAAAAGCAGATGCACCTTGTGACTGCTTCTGGTGAAAACACTGGAACTGAGCAGCAGGAATTTCTGGTGTGCCCTGAGGTAGTTTTATTATACTTGGCCTTTGGTTAGAACGGAAGGAGTAAGCCACTTGATTCAACTGCAAGGTCATCAGTGATAGGTGCAGGGAAGGAGGGCAATGACTGAGCCTTTGAAGCTTACGTGGTGTAGGATGAGAAGTCTGGTTTTGGTTGGGCAAGGAGGTAACTGGCTCAAAGTGAGCACAGACAGGGTTTAGAGAGGATGGGGTCTAAGTCAAAATGAGAAAAGGGAAGAGTGAATGGAGGGCAGTGGTATGGAGCATGTACAGAGAGATTTAAATGAGAAGCAGGAGGGAGAAGGATAACTGAATTGGTGGAGCAAGGAAAACCCCAGTGGGGACAAAATGTGGTAATGGGAAAGGAGCTGTAGCTGGTGTCTGAGAAAAGAGTAGGGAGGGAGAAGGAATCTGGAGTTAAGAGGCAGGAGGGTAGAATATGGTGACAAATAAATAAACTTCTACATAGTCTGCTTTTCCAAACCATACAGTAGAAGTGGGCACTCAAGAACTAGGCACTGGCACTGCAAGAATTTCACTTACGCAAAATCAGTAGGAACACAGCATCATTCCCCAGAGCAGAGACTGGCTAAAAAGTTGTAGACTTACAGCAGTACTAAGTTAGTGTCAGAAGTCTGCTCAGTGTACCTAAAAGCCACAGCCCTGCTGACTGCTAAAGATCTCACGTTTGGTAGAATTTCTGCTCAGTTTGCTTCTATGTTTTTTGGTGGGTTTTTTTGTGTTGTTTTTTTTTTTTTTAAGCACGCACATGAGCACAAAACTATGCTAAAGAAACAGTATTGAGCACAGCTTTAATTACTGCCATTTTAATCACCTTACCGTGTGATACTGCCACAAAATCCTTGCCTTATTTAATACCTCTGATGGACTTAGTCTGGAGTAGACTAAGACTGTGTAATAAGACTGTCTTAATCTGGCAAATGACTGGAACAAGAGAAAAAGGTCATTATGGTTAGAGTGGTGGCTTGCCATCTTGGGGAAGGAGTTTGATCCTTAGCTCTGCATACACATGGAAGAAGAGTTAAGTGACTTCAACTTGGCACTACTGGTGTGTAATTGATTGTTTTCTCACTTTCACTGTCCTGGCTATCACAAGCAGTGACAGCTGTAGACACTATCTGACACTTTGCAAAACATACACAAACAATATAACATGTAGCTTTTCAGGTTATATTTTCAGCCAGATGAAGTTAGTGCTCTTATGAATGTGAATTCTTCTATGATCCACGTCTCTAGTTTCTTCCTTGAAAATGAGGGTATAATGCCTCTTCACTACATAATGTGAACAGTTGGGAAAAATTAAGTGTCCTTATATTACCTTGAGTGATACATGAAGCTGATAATCGGTTCATAGAATAGTCCAACGTGTGCAGCAAAGAAGGCTGCAGACCTGCTCATCGAACAGCAGTGAAGAAAATGGTATAAAAAGCACATTCACTAAACAACTGTTATCCTTTTCTTTACCGGGATGAGGTAGCAGTCTTACAAAAGACATTAGTGTGATCAAAGTCTTCATCATAGGCCCTGCATCCACAGACAGATTTTATGAATAATCTAAACTTAAAATTTACTGAAACTGTTAGTACTTGTTTTTGTAGTCTTTTATATAGTTTGTCTTACAAGAATACATTGTGCATAAACGTTTCTGTATTTCAAATGCTCCCAGATAGCTCAGTGTATCAAAGATATTGTAGCAGCCCTATGTCATCAGTAGTGATAGCATTAGTTTACCCTGGCTTTTCACGTTTTCCTTTTCAAACTCTCAAGGTCAGTTTTGAAAGGATAATTTAAATGGGCAAAAGTATTGCTAACAGTTAAATGACCTGTTTGTATGTTGCAATGAATCGCTTTTACTTAACGCTTTTCAGTTGCATTTGTCTTATGTTTTTCTGTTTTTACATGCTTAGCACGCCCAGTTTAGGGAGTCTAGGAGTCTGTTTGATGAAATATTCCTCAGTCGTCCAGAGGTATGGTATAGTTCTCTCTAGTTTAGACTTTAACTGTGAATTTTCCTGCAGGCAAATAAATGCTTCTGGGGTTCATTGTGCCTTTTTTCCCCCACCACTAACTTGTCCATATCATTTTGTATGCTGAAGGTATCATTTATGGGTTTTATTAAGTAATTTGACCTTTTCCTCAGAAGTTTTTCTCTGTAAATCTACTACGATCAGAAGAGTTATATTAGTTTAGTTGTCCAAGGAATTCCTGAAAACTTGGGTTCTTTACTTGATTAAAGGTGATTTTTCTCACCATATGCCATGATGGGTTTCAATTTGAAAGAAGTTGCAAAGCATTGGGGGAAAAAACAGTCCTCTTTTTGCAGCATACTACAGAGAGCACTGTAGTTTCAGAAGTGTTAATAGATTGACTTCAGTAATGCTGTGTACCATTTGATTTCCTTCTGCTTAGAGAAATTACTCTGTGTGACATGCCATGTATGTTGATAATATATTTTGCAGTTTAGCTGTTTCTTTGGTCATAGGAACAGCAGGTTTTCTGTTTATACAGATCTCAGCATCTTTAGCAAACAAGAAATGTTGTCCATGATCTTTAACATGGCTAAATTTGTCAAGAATCAATATGATACACTGAAACAGTATTATATATTTTATGGATTTGTGTGTGTTGTTCTATGACATTCTTCTTATTAAAAAGAAAAAATATAAATAAAATATATAATTACTGATATAAATGTAAATGTCCAGTAGAAGTATTATTATGAAATTGTGTTTACTTATAACTGTCAGCAGAGAGGACAGTCCTTCTGCACTGTCCCTTTTGTCCCATTTGTCCCTCAATGGATGGTGGCAAACAATTACATTTTGAAGAAAGGTTGGAGAAGTTGACACCAACTAGATCACGTGAGAGCACTGTGGAAGACGTTAGCGTCTTCTATCTGCACAAATGATCATAAAACCACGTAATACTAAATGATGTCGATACAAGCTGAACATGATTTAAGCACCGGAAACTATTTTATTTCTTAAACATTCTGATAATTTTCGTATTGCAGTTTTTGGAGATGGTGCTATTCTTCACTAAATTTGGTTTAATATAATTCCCTTTTGACATAGGGTGTGATAAATTGCAACTTGTTCACACTTACTGCAGCAGTGCCTATTTACGAATGTCTGCTTTTGTATCCTTGGGTTATATATTGACCTGTGTTTCTCACACATGTAAGCCTTAGAAAAGCCTATGTATATAGAGAGAAACCTGTTGAACTTGTTATTTTAGTTGAGCAAAATTTTCTTTTTGTGAAGCAACATTTTGCATAGCCTGTAATTCACTAGTTGATTTGGAAGTGCCAGTGTAAAATACGGTAGTAAGCAGACATTTGTTTTTTTTTTAAAAAGAAGTCCAAATGTTATTTTAGATGGGGTTTTATAGACCTTCTGAAATTCAAATGGAATATCTTTTTTTGTTGCCCTGACTTGAAAAAGGAACTTCTGTGACACACTTCTCAGAGATCAGCCCATTCAAATGTGGTTTTTTCTTACATACATTTTGAGCCCATCTTTCACTCCTCCCCCATCAGTCATGTAGCTGCAGCAAAGTTGAGCTGAATAAACTCATGTTTTTGTAGTCACAAAAAAATGATGGCCATTTAGGGACATCTGAAATTATGTAGAGATGAATTATAGGCCCCTAAGATTGTTGTTCAGCTGGCTTTTTGTGTTTTCCTTGGTATTGTCGATGAGAATAGCAGTGTTTTTTAATGTAATTTATCTGATATAAAGTCCTGGTTAATTAATCTGAAATGAAACAGTGCAGCTGGAATTTCATGGCCATATTCCGAAGAGTAATGCTGGCTGCTTTGAGTTGGTACAGTTCGTTCTAGCACATTTTTAACCATAATTGCTATCCCCTGGTAAATTATTTTGCTGTGTTGACAAAGGTGAACATGTCAATCGCATGACAGAGCTTTAGATCACTGTGGTTGTTTAATGCCCTTTTAGTTGTGATTTTATTATACAAAATAAAACATTTGGTACAGCGACTGAATAGTATGTTAAAACCAGAAGTGCATTATTTCAGTAGTAAATGTTTGCTGTGGGTGCCACAGCTAAGTAAATCTCACTTGAACTAATCTCACTTCATTTTTATAGGTCATTTAATATCTCAACTCTAATACATTATGATTAATTGGAGAAAAAAATGGGAATAGTGTGTTACTCATGCTTATGTCCAGAACATGTCACTGCTGCTACTGACAGCATTAATTAACTGGTATCACCCTGCATTGTTTTGATGTTATTCATTTAAGAATAAAAATGGTGTGTTTAAGTGGTTTGCATCAGGCTCTCTTCATTAAGTGCTGTCATCATGAAAACGTTTATCCCAGGCACAGCTGCAGCAACGTTTTACTTGTGCACAGAGCTGTTGAAAACCAAGTACTGGCAAACAAAACAAACTCGCACTTTCCCTATCTTAAAATGTGGTATTTTGACACGATGGGAGAAATCTTTGCGTTGTTTTTTTGTCTGACTTTGCTTTTGTTCGACTTAAAGTACTCTGCTTTTCTAGAGTTTCCAAGACTTTTAAACACTTTTAATGTGCTTGCGCCCTCTAGTGTCCCCAGAGGGTCTCTTTGCTGTGCGTCTGTTTGGCAGTGCAGTGCTCTTGCATCAGCGATTTGTTTTAAGATACTAACCTTATTCTAAAACTTTATATTTTGGGATGCTTTGCAAGACTTTTCTGGCAGGAAAAAAAGAAAACATATTATATAATGACTTTTAAAAAATATTTAATCAAGATTGTTACAGTAAAAAAGATTTCTCTTGGTTTTGATTGTCAAAGTACTCATCTGAAGTGATTTCTAGCTCTGTTTAAGATGAATAGGCAGCACGTACATACCTTCTACAGAAACTTGCAGCAAATTTAGTCTCTGTCAATATAAGCAAAAAATAAGACTTGTTTTATAGATACGAATTATTTTTCTTTTAAACTTCCTTGATGTGGTCGTGTTACAGAAATGTAAATTTTCTTCTAGCTTTAGAAACATAATTAATACTTTAATCCTACAGATAGTTATTCTAAAATAAACTTTTGACTAAATTATCACTAACCTGTAAATCCAGGAAGAAGAGTATCCACCCCGGGATGATTTCAGTGATGCAGATCAGCTTAGAGTGGGCAATGATGGCATCTTCATGTTGGCATTTTTCAGTAAGTTATCTTGTATCCCAGACCTACTGAGATATATCTTAATTGTACCTTTTTTCTATGGAGTATAAAAGATAGCTGTGATAAACTGCATTATTGTACTGTAATGAATGGATTTTTTTAACCTGTACAGGCATATAAACGCTTCCTGTTTCAGATGTAGCAAATATGTTGCACTTTTTTCCTGTGGCATCTGTAATGGATGAGGGGACAAAGCAAAATCATAGTAAATGTTTTGAGGCATAGCAAGGCTGCACTGTTACCTATGAATTGGGAAATTCTGTCATCTTCTAGTTGGACTCCCAGCTTGAATTCATGGAATCACAGATATCTGGCAATCACTTCTTATGTAGGAAAGCAATCGAGAGAGATGTGCCATTAAAAAGCTGTTGATGTTAGCGTAGTGAATTAAATAGCTGTGGGTAGATTTTTGGAACAAATTCAACCATGCTTATTTTCAGGATGAACTAAGCACTCGTATATAAAAAGACACTGTCTTCAGGTAATGTCTCATTGCAGCCAGCCATACAGCCCTTCTTCTTCAGTTACTGTGTGTGAGCGCTCTGCGTGTCTTGTAACTTAAATGCTGCATCGAGCAAAGTTAGATTCAGCCACTGTCAGTTACTTCTTTAAAGAAGCTGCTGCTGTTTTCCCAATTGAATATTTATTTCTGAGGATATTTTCCCTCTCTGAAATAGTTGTGTTTGGGAACCTGGATGGAAGCTGTGTTGGGGATGTAGCTGTTCTTTTTAGCATTCACCAGGATGAAAGCTGATTGATTATCCACTGAAATCTTTTATGTTTTTCAACCTAGATCTCTTAATTCTGTTTTCTGTCATGTCTTTCACAGTCTCTTTATTTAACTGATACAGGTGCGGATTACAGAAGCTTTTTTCATGTTGGCATATGATGTACTAGGACAATGTGATGTTTGCATCTTGGGATAAAAATGTGTCTACCTTGCATAGCAAATATATAAATACATATATAGGGTGACAGAGAGTTTTATAGTCTGAACTCTTTCTGTAGTTGGACCATAGAAAGGGTATATATTCTTGAGGACCAAGAGGAGTATGGCTTAATTTTTCTTCTTCCCTTTTATTCCCCTTCCCTATGTGCTACAACTATTTATATTTAACCCCTTTAGTTTCTGTATTGTGTGAACTTGTTCTTGCCTTTAAATACTGGTTCAGGCCTTCATTAGCACTGCACTTGGAAGTCAAGTGGTTTGTCGATTCTGTTATCTTTTAAGCCCTTAAAATCACAGCTGAAAACCTGTTTGTTAGCTTGCAGCTAGGAACTCAGTAGTAGTAAAAATCCTGCTATGTGGAAGCTGGAGTCAAAGGCTCCAGAAAGGCTCCAGTGATACTCACATGCGGTTTGCCAAAACTTCATGCGCAGAACCTTGTGTCTGCCTTCAGAAATGCATACGTTCACTTGGATAAACTGGCAACTTGCTCTTCAAATAGCTGTTTAGCTGAGACTGCACAGAGCACTGCTTTTAAAACAGCTGACAAAAGTACTCTGTACATCATAATTTTTCTTGATTGTTTTGAGACTGTGTTGCTTTGCTCACCTGTGAATGAAATGGATAAAACGAGAGCTTACACATTGTAAGATATTTATGCAAGTGTATACTTAATTGGGAACTGTGTTGTCTGTTATGGATACTGGTCACATATGGAAATTGATAAAGTTTACTTGTTTGCGTTCATAGTCTGAGGAAGTCACAAAACCTCATAGCATTTATAGACCTGTAATATTAATTTTCAAAAGTCTTTGGAGTTTTAAAAATGTCATTTTATTCAACTGAAGTGTAATAAAATGAACGTTTTCCTGAGCTTACCTGCATATTGCAGTCAACTACTGATATGCAGCTACCATCTAGTGGTAGCTGCCCAAGTTGCATAAGATTGATGTCTTGAGGCCATCTGGTGGCCAGGTTGGTTTGTTTGCGTTTTTTGTTTGTTCTGGGAGTTTCATGCAAGTTACAATCAATCCTGTTTCCCATCCCAGTTGTAAAGTCCTGTTCTGTTTAGCATAATTAAGTAGAATGTGACAATATACTCTAAAGAATAGAAGTCCTTTATGTGAACAAGTGGGGTTTTTGCTTTAGCACTTGATTCAGAAACTTAGTGGAAAAATTTGGAAAATCAACCTATTTTATTTCTAATATGTGGTAAAATCACATATTTTAAGAAATTAGCATTGCTCTTGAATTGTGTTGGTGAGCAAAGAGTCTACTCTCTCGTGGTCAGGACTGCTGTTTGGTAGTTTCTCATTTTGAGGTGAATGAGTGTATTAGTGAATATGTTAGTGAATATATTCATTTTGCTATGTGTGCAAAATGCAGCAAATTTTGCTATCAGACCACTTAATATATTTTTTCTATTGTGTATTTTTAAGTCAGCAGTGCCTTATACAGCATAGTTCCAGCTTTTCAGAATTCCAAAGAAAGTTGTCAATAGGTGAGTTTCTCAGAGGGATTTTTTTATTTGTTTGGTTTGGTTTTTTGTATGGACAACAAAAAGGAGGGATTTCTGAGCTGTTTCTTTCCATTTTGAACACAGCTGCGAGGATGGTAGAGCAAGTAACTGTCATGCGTTTGGTTTTGGTGCTTAATTTGCCCATAATGGAAGTCCTGGTTGGCTCATCCCAGTTCATTATGTGAAGGAGGTTGTTTTGGGCAGTAATAAAAGGCTTATATGGTTTTCCCTTGTATTTAAGGAGTGCTTAATAAATATCAACCAGCCTTTTCACCTGTGGGCCCCAGAGTGAATTGCAGAGCTCATCTAGATTCTTAGAAACCATCGAAGGGAGTTTTGGGTTGTCCCTATGGTCTAGGAAAAATGAATATTAAGTGAAACCTCACAGATGGGTAAATAAGGAGGAAGGAATGGAAAAAAGTGTTCGATCATACAGCCGAAGTTTAAGTTCTTATATATGAATTTGATCTTTTTGAACAACATCTGGGCAATTAAAACACTGTGTACCACTCACATCAATAAAATAATCATGCAGAGAAATATAAATGTGCATCCTGCCCTGGATGCTATATTGGAACAGATAACAACCACACCAAAATTTTGTAAACTGATGTTCATACAGCTTCCAAATGCTTCAGTCAATACACTGCACACAAGCTAGGGTCTCTACTTAGGGGTTTCAAGTGGCAGAAGTTGGAGGACAGAGTTGTAGTACAAGCTCAGGGTGAGCACAGTCTCCTGTTGGAAGCTTCCTGAGGAGTGGTAAGCATGGCCCAGACTTCTCGTGGGAGCATTCCTCTGCGTGAATTTAGGAAACCTGACTTCTATATGTCCACATCACGAATGCTGTGCAGCTTTCCCTTAGTCGTGCAAGAGAAGCTGAAGGGGAAGCAATTTGACTGAAATTGCAGAAGTTGGAAGGAGATAAAGGAGCTGTTTTGGGAGTGGTTATTTCTCTCTGGTTATCAAGGGAGCCTGGCTGACCTTCATACACAGTCACTTCCTAAAGTAGAAAGAATTTGACTTACATGACTTCTCCATGCGTGTTGGTTATAATACAAAATAATTGGAATGAGGAGGCTTCTAATTGGACATTAAAGAAGAATTTACCAAGGGTAATGAAGGAGTAGAAGTAAATTGCCTAGGGAATTTCTTGAACATTCATCACTGAGCAGAAAAAAAAAAGTGAAGTTGTCAGTTGAAGTTGATAGGAAGTGCTTCAAGTGATCACCATTAGACTTCAGGTGAGAAGTGTGTCCCGGTTCACAGGTAGAATAAGTTCTATGCAGGAGTGAGAAGAATATTTTCTAGTGGTGCAGGAAGATCTAGAAAGTATTATTCATTGCATTATGCTTAGTAAACCTAAGCCGGCTATGAAACACTAAGCTCTTTGGTATTTTCTGTATGTTAAAATAATAAGTCATTGGACAAACAAATCAGGGAAAAAAGGATGTAACTGAGCATGGTTGTTTTTGTATATATAGTTGTCATTATAATCTTATCACAGGCTTGAGCCATGGCTAAAATTTGGAACCAACATAAGTCTTCAGACCAGTTTTGCTGGCTTCTTTTCATGACAGTGAATATAAAGTTAAGCCAGGCGATTATTGCATAGCTGTGGAAGGGATCAGCAAGTGAAGTGCAAGAACAATTGAGGAAAAAGCAGATTTGTTCTAGTATGCTTGTTGTTATTGTCACGTCTTCTGATGTATTGTGATATGTAAAACTCAACTTTTGAACAAGATTGCTTAGTAACTTGAAAAACTAAGTTTTCTTGTTTACTGTAAACTGGGAGTAGAATTAAAGGATGTGTCAATATTGCTTTGCAATTTAATGAGCACTGGCAAAAAACCAAGCATGGATTAATAAGCTCAGTGACAAAGTACTGCTTCATCCATCATCTTTTCCTTGCCTCTTTACTTACTGGAGAACCAACAATGGCAATGGATAGAAATTTGTTTTCAAAAATAAGTTGAATTATTTTGCTACAGCTTCTTTGGAATTGCTGATAGATAAAATACTTTTGCTTTCTAATTTTTTTATATGAAAATTCCTGTGCTTACCACTGCCCATCAGAAGAGGGCTTTGGGTGTAGAAATAGCTGACAAATAGCCATACTTTGTGTGTCAAATTCTAAGACTTTTACAACATTTAGAACATCCTGTGCTTTGTATTTTGGATGGGATTATCTTATTGAAAACTATAAAGAGAAAAAAAAGTACAACATAATTGTTGTGAGTGCTACCTTGGACATCAAGAAGACTTTTTCTTAAAAAGGACCTGTAGTCCTACCTTTCTCCCCCCAAAAAGCAAATTTTAACCTATTCTTCATTACAAAGTTTTTTGTCCTGTCATCTAATACTTACCCCGTGTCTGTGGATTATATTTTGAATATTCCTTTAGCTCAAGTTGAAAGGAAGGTAAAGTTGTCATTGTGTTCCACTTTGAGTGTAAGAACTACTTTTTTTTCCTCCTCCTGTGTTAACGACAGGGAAATCTCTAATTTTTATAATGCATGTACGGTTTTACAAAGAGTGAAAACTCTTATTTTTTAATTAGCAATTATTACTTATATTATTACATATTAAAATACTAAGTATTCCATAAAACGTAAGTAATTAATGGGAATTCCTCTAGTCTGCATAGTCCATTAGAAACATGCATCTTCTGTCCTTTTTAGCACGCCTCTCTGTGGAGCCACAATCAGAGTCCCCCTTTGTAGCTTGAGTAGTGGGGGGAAAGGGAGAGAGCAGGAAGCTGTTGTGCTGAGTCAGGAACAAGAGATGTGTTGAAAAACAAGCTTTCGAAATCTGTTGGTCTTAAAAGTCTAGTGGATTTGGAGAGATTGCTTTAAAATAGGAACATCTTCAATATTTTTTGTAAGAAATCATTGTTTTCAAAACAATGCATCCAGGCTTTCTCAAATGTAAATGTTCTTCTTGTGTTTTGGAAAACAGGTGAATGTTGTTCTGTTTTTCTTATGTAGTAGAAATCCTCTGTTATTTATATTTTTCTTCATCTCTGCATATGCCAATTTGGATCAGCATTTATTCAGTGTTATTTGTATTTTTTTTACTTCTCTGCTTATGCTAATTCAGATCAGCATTTAGTGTTGTTTCTTGTGGTTTTGGGGGAGTTGCTCTAGTTGTTTTGGAATTTTTTTAAAGATTAATAATTAGCATGAAAGCAAGCTTTCTCCTTGCCACCATCTGTTACCTATGGCTCAGTCTGAAGCAAGATATTTTCTCACTTGTGCAAAATGACTGTGTTGATAAGTTTTCCAAAACTTCTCTTGGGACTTCAATTTCTGTAGAGTTCATGAAATCCCACTGCACTTTTACAGGCTAATTTTTCATTTGTGGGCAAATCATTGCATTTTCATGTGGGTTGTTGGAGGAGTTGCAACAGGGTTTTAAATTACAAAAAGTGCTTGTTGATAGCTAATCTTCCCAAATTGACTTCTATTTAAGAAAACTGTTCACCAATTTTCTGTTCCTAATGTTTTCCTGTGAGTGTTCAGACTTTTACTGAAAAGAGAGACTTTTTTTTGTGGTGATTTAATGTCTGAATTTTGTGAGTTTTGTTTTTTCCCTTAAGTTTGAGGATTTAAAACATTAAGGATTTGTGTGCAGGGCTTTTGTTCCCCTCTTCCTGCCCTTCAGTGATTTTGTGTTTACTGTGGGCTTCTCTAAATGTTTTAGGTTTTCCACTGTCTTGTCCTCTCCAGAACTCCCAAATTGTCCTCTTCCACCAGCTCTTCTGTTTGGTGGTTTTCCTTTGAGTTGCCCTCGCTTATTCCCAAAGCTGGGACATCACCTAACTGGGAATTCCCACACTTTGGCTCAATGCACACAAACTGAAGTTAATACAGACGATGTCGTCAAATACAAATGCAGATACGAAACTTTAAATTGTAAAACTACTGGGAGTTGTGTGAAAGTGTTAATGAAGTAGCAGTGGTAGTTATGCTCAATGTCCTTTTTGTTTCTTGATTTCTTAAGCTTCTATATAAAACTTGCATGTCTTCTTGTATCTTATGCTTGATCTAAAAGAGAAGACAGTAACCAGCGAAACATCGGCTTCTCAATTTATCTCAATTACTATACTATGTTTGCAGAGCAAGAGTAGATACTTTTATTCCGTTTGATCCAAACTGGATGAAGCTGAATATGCAGCCTTGATGCATGCACATATGTGTGCATATCGCGATATTTTTGGTCGTAAAAGTGTAGCAAGGCTTTTTTTGTATATTTATTTTTATTTTAACCCAAGCCATGTATGTTATAGCCCTTTGTTTGCATTTACCCTTCCCGTCTAGTGTCACCTGGTTAGATCTCTGTAGCAAAGTGGTACTTTCTTTCATGTTGGCTTATTCTCTTGTTTAAAGTAGTAGGTTCCAGCCTGTTTACCATTTGCTTTGTTATTAAGTGACTCTACCATGGGAATGTCTGGGTTCAAAGTCAATCTCTGAAAGCCTGAATTACTGGAAGGGAATTACTGACTGTGTAAGCATGTCCTTATTAGTTTAACATTAATTTCACTTTTAAGTCTGTTTGCTTAGCTATACAGGTTAACAGAAGCTACTGTTTCTTTTATTTTATAGTGGCGTTTATTTTCAACTGGATTGGATTTTGCTTATCCTTCTGTATAACAAATACCATAGCTGGAAGGTACGGTGCAATCTGTGGATTTGGTCTCTCCCTGATCAAATGGATTCTCATTGTGCGGGTATGTTTTTCGATTCACACTGTTCAGGCTGTGTTTGTAGAACCAAATAATAATGATTTATTCATATAATCTATATTATAGAATTAAAAATCAGTGTATTAAATTCCAATTCTTAAGAGTGCCTAGAATTTTCTCTAATCTCCACTTTAGTAGAGAATTTACTTGCTATATATTCATCCATGCTTACTAATGATGGAGCTTTATATATTTTAGCATTTTACATTCACCTTTCCACTAAAATAAATGCAGAATGACTCACTCTTTGCACAAGTATTTAAAAGCATACGTAAGAAGTGGAGCAGGTACCTAAAATGTCACTGATATTACAGTGTCTGTGTGAAAGATTTATAAATGGCCCAGCCTACTGGGGCGGGGGGAACATCAGAAAACATTTCTTCCTCGTATCCGATTCTTTTATTTCTTATAAAATACATACTGAATCAACTCAAAATTGAGTATGAATTTAGTAAAATTTTGACCATCTAAGATGCTAAATTTCTTGATATTTTCACTGCAAGACTAGATACTTTTCAGAAAGCTGTGTTAGCCAAATGGAAGTTACTGAGCTGACTAAGTGGTTGCTAGATGGAACGTAATGATTGCATTCTGCATGTCTGTGAGACACATCTGAAATCGCATCCTGTCTAATGAAGAATGAGATCTCAGATAACTCAGTCATCTTTTATGCCCTGCCAACTCTGATTTTATTTTATTTTTCTGTGTCTGTGCTGGTAATTTAACTTGATTTGGTCTTAGCACAATGGTACAAGGATGGTAGAGAGAAGAGATGGCATGGTCCTTCCCAGACATATCCTGCATCCTTCTTACAGATGAATGTGATTTTATTGTGGGGTTTTTTAGCTTCCCTGGGGCAGGAGAATGCTACTGGACCAGATGTGATTCTGGTATATTTAGCTGGAATTCAGGCTTTGGGATGGAATTTATCTTAAGGGAGTGAGAAGATATGAATTTATCAGCTATGCATTCACTGGGGATATTTGCAGCTTCCCTTGAGGCGTAGTAAACAGAGGGCAGGACTTGCTCATTGTGTCAGTTTTATTACTGCCTGCTCAAAAATGTGCTCGTAACAAACACAAAAATTAATATATTCTAAACTTCCTTGAAGGATTACTGTGTTGTAGGCTATATTAAATTCTCATATATAATCTGTTACTAATTCTAAAATATCAGAGCTGACAAATTCGAAGACCTCAGGGGTGGGGGTTTTTAATAGTGAAGATTATCATCTTCCTATGTTCTCTCCCTGTCCAGAGACAACAGCAGAAAGGTGTATGTCAACAATTTTGTTATAATGGTGACACATAAGCACCCATGTGTGCATAAAGTTGTTCTGTTCCTTTGTCTCAAGCTCCTCTGCAGGCTTGTGCTGCCCTTTCTCACCCAGGGTCAGTAGTACAACACTTTATCGCGTTTAAACGATCCCAGTTCACATGTGTTCTCTGTATGTCGGTTTGTATTGGGGCTGGGGGGGGGGAAAGCAAAAGCACAACCTTGCCTCTGGGGGAGTTCTGCAGCTCTGAGTTTTGCCTGAAGAAGGTGAGAGCAGCACTCACAGGCCAGTATTTGGTTGCTGGTTTTAGTGAATCTTGTTTTACATTAAATGAAACTGTAACTTTTCAAAAAGTGGATTGGTACATATGTTTAGAGAATGGAAAATGCCGCCTGTCAAGTGAGATTGGATTACTGATGTCATGAACTTCCTGGGAACTGAGTATTCATTTGGTGTTTTAGTGAAGTGTCAAAATATGAGATGCTTACTCTGCCAAGTCATAGAAATGCTTGTATTTATATGGGGATAATGCAAGTATCAATTCTTCAACTTAGCAATTCTGTTTCTTGGTATTTTTTTCTTGCGTTGCCCATAGAAATGAATTAAACACCGGATTAAACATTTAAAGAATTTGCATGCTCTGGCTTTATTCTGGAGAAAACATGTGGATCTCAGCGCACAGTTACAAAAAGTGAACTATATCTATTGTTCCTTAAATGTTTTGGATTTTTATCTGGTAGTATATGTGGCTTAGTATCCTCTCCTTTTATTTATTTTTTTTAAGAGTAAACTGAATTACATGCCTGAATTATTTGGGGTCTTTTGGTTGATACTACTGAAAAGTCATCAAAATGGCAAATGGGAAGCACTCTGGCAGAGTGCAGAAAACATACTGCATGATAGTAGGGTGGGAGGCGTTTGAAAAGTGTGCAGAGCTACTAAATAGGTTATTTTCTTCCTTCTTGCAACTTTTCACACATCTCCTCATTCCTACTTCTTCTGTGAGTTTTGGAGGCGTTTGATTACCCTTTTTATCAGTGAAGCATGCAGTCTGGAGCCTGGTAAAGGCACAGATACCTGTCTCCAGCGCCATTGCACCTTGCCCTCCAGCTGCCTCCCACATCACAGGGAGGACAAAACTCTCTACCATGGTCACCAACAGGAACAGCCGAAATGGCACTTCAAGGTTCATTTAGTTACGTTCAGCTCACTGCTGGGAACTGAATGCTGGTTTGAAAATGAAAAGACTTTAATGAGTTGGGGGTCTTTATGGGGCTGGTATTCTTGGCAGCGATTAACAGTAGGGGGTATACAGAAGGTCAAAAGCTCTTCTTTTGAGGGGTCAGCAGAACATCCCTGTCTGATAAGATTAAACTAATGTGGCTTTTGGTGTTAATATCTAAAGCAGCAGGCTGCTGTAATGTGTTTGGGATGACAGGCACTGGGGGGGGAAAAGGAGAATTGACAAGTGGTGGTTCATTATAATAGAAAATGTCAGATGGTTCTGGCAAGTAATACAAGTTTATATATATATATTTATATATGTATTTTTCACACTTTATATATGTGTATATATAGATATATATGCACATATTTGTAGAGATTTTAAAATATTTTTTCCACAGACCAACTGACACTGGAAGTGTTATCTGTATATTAAACCGCTGCACAAATAGCAGTCTTGCATTTTAGGTGAATATATCACTTTTATTTAAGTTTTCTTTTTCTTCTGTGCTTTCTATATCTGCATAGTGCATTAAATCAGTCTTAGTCATCTGTCTTACTGCAGCTAAGCCTCCTGTGTATGTATTTCAGTTTTCAGATTACTTTACTGGATACTTCAATGGACAGTACTGGCTTTGGTGGATATTTCTTGTACTTGGTAAGTGACAATTGAAAACATCTCTGTTTTGGTGTGGAAGTACTTAAAGATGAATTGTGTGATTGTAAGTAACAGTTCTGTAACATCTTTAGCTACGTGTTTTTTCTTTAGTTGCTGATAGTTTTGTGTGGTGTTTTTATTTCCATAGTATTCATGACGTTATTGGTTACCGTAGTGGTGTACTGTGTGAACTGTGGATTATTCAAATAACATTCTGCTCAAAATATTTTGTTCTACATATGTAATCTTCTACATACATGAGACTTGTGATTTGTGCTTTCTAAGCTGCTTTTACTGATCTAGGGGTGCAGAACTCTGTAATGAAACTTTGGCTTTATATAGGGAACATATTGAAAAGTGAGTGCTGTCTAGTACTTTCATGTATAAACCTGGATGTTAAGTACTAAATTTCAAGAAATGTGACTGATCCTAGGAGGGTGGAGTCTGCTGTCTTGTACGCAGGTCACAAAATGCCCTTTTCTAGTCCTTTGAAATGCAGACTGCATCAGTAGTTTCTCAGTCAGACAAGAGAATGGCTTCATGCTTTCTGATCACAGTGCTCCCATGATGTCAGCTCTCTCTTCTGAGGTCTGTCCTCCCATGTTCAAAGACTTATACACATCAAATTCTGCTCTTCTGTCAGTTTTTACTTAGGGTATACCAAACTCCAAGCGCTATACCTTTATACTGTGGATTTTGTAATTTGAATATGGAATTTGGGATTATTTTCTTTCTCAGAAGTGAATGCTAGTATCCATTTTATTTTCTAGCTCTGGAAGCATAGTAAACTGTTGCTGGTTCAGTAGGTGGCACTCTTCCCTTTGAGTCAATTGACTCAAATGGCTAACAGCAGATGTTAGAATGCAATGTTGAGTACATTTAAAAAAAAAACAAAAACAAAAACAAAAGAAAACCTAACAGCTAACACTGAAATCCTGACTGTTTGTGAGTCACTGTCTATATCATAAGACATGCCAGAAATCCTAAATTATGTTACCTAAAACTTTCTCTTATCTACTTTTTAGTAAATTTTGAGGGCATTCATCAGACTTCTCAATACTCAGCTTGCTCTGCTGCTGTGCACTTGGTTGTTTGAGGTGTATAGAAATTGTTTAACGCCTCACAGCACCAGTCCCTTTGAATGCTTTCATATTCTGTTTGAAGTGATTGCATTTAAGTAGCAAGTGAAACGGCTCTTTACAAGTACAAACATCTCCAGATAAACCCTTAATTAAAACAAACCCTTGTGGTGCCTGAAATTGGGATTTGACACTGTTTTCACTTTGAAGATAGTGTGTTCTTCCCCTAATATTTTTCCCCACCTTGTCTATGGAGAAAGGTGAGCATTTGTGCTTCCTCTTTTTCCTAATCTCTTGCAGCACTTGTTCAGAAGTTAGCTCACTTAGATTTAGAAAAGCCTGATCTTCAGCCTTAACTGTTTGAAGGTTGTTTTGGCTTTTTTATTTTAATTTAACTCACGAAGTTTATAACATGCCTTGGAACAAAAGGCACTGTGAGGCATGCAGTATGCATCCAGCAGTGAGTATTCCCTTGTCTTATGAATTTTTTGCATTAAATACACCAGCAGTGTTTTTAAACTGATAAAGTGGATATACTGAGATTGGTAGAACACCACAGGAGGATTTAACCCGACAGAGCTACTTAGCAGGATGTGGAGGAGTATTATCAAGTCGTGGGAGCTCTGCCAACCAGATCTGTATTTCGTTGTCTCAGATAACTTTCCCATTAGAGCATGCGAAGTAGCATGTCCCGCGTCTCTTCAGACGCGAATGAACTGAGTTGGGTTCTTTCTTTTACCCAGTGCTTTGAAATACCTGAACCCACCTCTTAGCCATGTCCTCTCTTCTGGTGTACACCTATCTGTGTCTGCTCCCTTCCCTTCTTTCAGCATCTGGAAAAATCTGTTCATGGAAAAGTGATATGGTCTGCATCCAAGGAGCTGTTATATACGGTGAACAAACTGGAGAGAGACAATTCTGATTTTTAAATTTAAATATTAGCCCAAGTCTCTTTGAGGAACACAGTGGAAAGTGGGGGGGGTTTCTTCCTTAAACAAAGAAATATAAAATATGGGTTGAACTTTGACTGGTTTTTCAAGATGTGTAATGCAGAAAATATGCTTTCAAGTACCTTAAGAGCTGTCTGCTTACCTTTTGCTGTTTCAGCTGCTTTTCAGTTGAACGTGGGGCTATCTCTGGTAACGTCTGGGTAGCAGCTTTTGTAGTAGACTTTTGATCCAGATCTCACAGCTTTCTTCTCCATGCAGAATTCACCTTAATCACAGAAGTGTGTCTGGCTTAGGTCAAAGTTCCACTGGTTAGCAGACTTGTGGTTTTGTGTTTGCATGTCTGTCCAAATGAGGCTTTGGTTTAAAGAGGCAAAAAGAATGTTTTTTAAAAAATCACAAGCAAAAAGCATTTAGAGAAGAAATGGTCATAGGAAAAAGTCAGGGTCTCAACCAGGACAGCAGAAAGAAAAAGTACATCATGTAGGAGAATGTCAGTGTAATGTCAGAGTTTGTTTGATAGTATGTCAGAGAAAGGGATGAAATCCTTTGCTAACCTTCTTAAACCTCAGTTTAGATTTTCATTTGAGCCTTTGAATCCTAATACAAATGTGTATATATACACGTAAGCATGTATCTTCAAGGTATCTATGTGTTCATTAAATTGCTCTCTAGGCTCGTGTTTCTCTCCATTGGATGTGAAATTCAGATTTCGATCCCCCAACTCTTTGGGCAGCTTGTTTTATCTCTGTTGGATTCTCATTGATCCAACTGACGAATGGATCAATCTGTTGAAGTTTACTTAGTGGAGGAAAATGGACCAAAGAGCTGTGTCCACTATGCAACAAGGTGTTTTTCTGGTTTTGTTTGTTCAGATGTGCAGTGGATCTCTGAATTGGTAAAATGATGGTGGCAGCATCATGTTATTGATGTCCATTGCTGCAACTGTAACTTGTGTGTGATTGTTCTGTATCTCTTGTTTCTCATATCAGAGCTGAAATACTCTTTCAAATGCAGTTAAATTTAAATATTTAAAAATAATCTGTAATGTGGAGTTGACCAAAAAGATGTAACACAACACATGTTGAATAATTTTATTTGAATCAACTGTTGTTCATCCTCCTCTGGGACAGGTGCATTTTCCTGGATGGTTAAATCTTAAGCCATAATCTAGTATAATTTATTATTGGCTTGTTGCTAAAGCAATCTGTACTGTCTTTTTTTTTTCCCCCTGCTTTTGACTTGCAGTGCCTTTATAGTATACATTTCTAAAGGTATATTTTGTGGTTCAGGTAATCTTCTAAATTAAAATTCTATTTGAAAAGAATGTGCAGCATGTATTCTGTTTCCCCCCCCTTCTTTCTAAGTATTTTCATGCAGTCTTTTTAGCAGATGATACTTGAACCTAGAATGAGTGTAAAATTTCTGAAAACTCTTCCATAAAGCTATATCCTTATATCATGAGATTAAAGCGGGAGACTTGCTTGTTGAATTTGTGAATGATGCATAAAGAGCTTGCTTTATTTTGTATAATCTAGATTTTTAAAAATTAATAAGAATAATGCAAAGTAGCATGTATTTAGGTTGATATACTTAATTTTGCATTTTCTATACTTTCAGGACTCCTCCTGTTCTTTCGAGGCTTTGTTAATTATCTTAAAGTCAGAAATATGTCCGAAAGCATGGCAGCTGCTCACAGAACAAGATTTTTTTTCTTGTACTGAAGGTAAGCAATCTTCAGTGATAAGATTATCTTTCCCAGGAAAATAAAGAAGAATTAAATACTTACATTAAAAAGAAATAATCAAAATTGTGTCACAAAACAGAAGTTGCATCAGTTTTGAACATCTGTAATGAATGTTGTATATATTCTACATGGACTTGGAAATATCTGAAGTCTCTTGAAGTCATGAAATTTGAAAGTAAATAATGCATCCTCATTGCCTCCAGTTCTCTCTGGAACTAGTGTTCAGTAAGGAAAATGAGGAGGAACCTGTTGTTTTCCTAGGCTAGAAACAGTATCTGCTGCCTGTCAGGATACTGTCCTTTGTGTAGAAAAACTGGCTTTAGCAGTCAACCTGTTGCCAGCAAGTTTAGGAAGCACTAATCTGCCTGCATATTAAATCTGGTTGACATGGGTCTGAGCACGCAAACAATAGATGAGTATTGTCTCTTTTTACATGACTGGATTAAGAGAGTCATGTACAAGTATGATTACTGTGTATGCAACAACGTGCTTTATATATCCTTCAGGTAGCTGACTAATCAGGCTGGCACATATCCACACTTTTTTTTGTTGTGGTTTTTTTTTTTTTCACTTATGAAGTAACAACCAGCACATTACTGAAGCCTGAAAAAAGCTGAGACAGTATTTGCTTAGAAAAAAATAATTCCTTTTATACAAGACAGCAATATACACTTAAAAACAGCTAATGAGAAATATTTGTCCTGTACTATATGGTTCTTGCTCATGGAAGAGATCCATTAATATAACTGATATTTTCTTTTAATGTGCCATTTTATCAAAATTATATGGTATGTTAACCTTAAATAACTAAGGCATATATTGCCTTTTAGTTACCAGCCTAAATTGGCATCTACATGGCAGAATTTCCTTTTTGCAGTAGTTATAGAATCATTGAATGTTTTGGGTTGGAAGGGACCTTAAAAATCACCCAGACCAAGCCCCCTGCCATGGGCAGGGACACCTCCCATCAGACCAGGTTGCCCAAAGCCCTGTCCAACCTGGCCTTGAACACTTCCAGGGAGAGGGCATCCACAGCTTCCCTGGGCAACCTGTGCCAGTGTCTCACCATCCTCACAGTAAAGAATTTCTTCCTATTATCTAGTCTAAATCTACCCTTTTCCAGTTTAAAACCATTCCCTCTCGTTCTGTCGCTACCTGCCCTTGTAAAAAGTCCCTCTCCAGCTTTCCTGTAGGACCCCTTCAGGAACTAGAAGGCTACAATAAGGTCCCCCCAGAGCCTTCTCGTCTCCAGGCTGAAATCTCTCTTTTTCTTAGTAATGTGGTAACCTCTTCAGAATGCCAAAATTTGTAGAGACAAGACTAAAAATACTATTTCAAAAATAATTGTTAGAACTAAGTGGTATTTGAAAACTAATGCTTGAAGAGAATAATGGGAGTGTAGGATAATGTGGTCTGGGATTCTTTGTTCTCGTGCAGTTAAAATTCTGCTCTGAGACAAAATGCTATTTAACTCAGCAATTAGCTGAAGTTAGCGAGTTGTCCTGTCTGAGTGCAGTGGCTTTGATTTTTTCCTTTACCTGTAAGCATCACTGAGATGCATGGGCTGATAATGTCTGTGGAGTGTTTAGAGAGCAGGACATGTAAACACTATTTTTATGAAGCATCTTAAGTATGGAAACATTAAGTTCAAATCAATTGCTATCACACTTAAATGTCCTTGTTCTTCCATAGACAGGTAACTTCCTGTACAGTGACTACTAGTTTTCATAAATAACAAATGTTACCTATACAGTTACTAAGTTTTCTCAGGTTCCTTTGAAATGATAACAAAATAACAGTAAGTTTTCACTTTCTTTCTCCCTTTCTGACTTGGAGGGGCAAAGGCTGCTGCTTTGCTACTTCTAGGTTTAACGTCAGTTAGCAACGCTCCCTCTAGTGAATCACTGCGATGAACTGAAGTACAACTCTTTCTTTATCTCCAGACTGCACCGAACAGACATTTTTTTCCTTTACCAGTGTGAAACTTCCAGATGATCTGTAACCCTCCACGTTAATAGGATAGAAGACTGCTAAAACCAGAAGACAAATTAGTGAAGATACGGCTTCAAAAATGAATAGCAGGCTGATTTATGCTCAAATGCCAGTTCTGGTCATTCTAGTAAATATTTATAATTGCTGCCTTTTGGTTTAGCACATTTGTATATGTGCTTATTAAAGATATAGTATCGAATTAAGAACAAACCATCTGTTAGTATAGATTAGGTACAGTCAGACTTGGTTAATCTGTCCTTGTTGCATCCGAAAGATTTAAGTGGAAACTTGTTTCACAGCGTGTATGTGCCACTGACTTGCTGATCTGAACTTTGAGTACAACGGGATGCATGGAATGATTTGGATTAACCAGTTCAGACTGTTTTTAATATAATTTAGATTCATCTAATGATTGTGTAGACCATTTTTAAGTTTACTAAAACCTGAAGTCCCTTGTTGTCACAAACTTGTAGTCACCAATATTTTATCAAACTCAAACCGATATACTGGTTTGCTGAAAACTGATACTCCACTTTGAGTCCCCTGTAAATAACTCTGCTTAAATGACTGTTTGAATTGCTTCTTAGGAAATATGTCAAAATATATTTTGTAACAGCATATTCTCTAAATTTTGTTTACTTAGAGCTACGTACATATTTTTTGTTAATTGGCCATTAAGGATATAGTTACTATTAGATGTAATTTTGAAGGTATAGACACTGAATTGTTTGTCTCATCCTAACTTTCTTCACATGAATTATTATTAATTAGTTTGGGCTTGAGCCTGAAAGTCCATTATTACTCATATGCATGATCCCATTAAAAGATAGAATTTATTCACATTGGCAGGCCTTACATTTTTAGTCCTCGGTTATGCAGTTGGATCCTTGTAGGTGCACCTTTGTTCCTGAAACAGCGGATTGCAAATGTATTCCCTGGGTTATAACACTGGCTGTGTGTAAGAAGCCTTGAGTTCAGTCTAAACACAGCATCCTCCCTGAGGGCTTCTCAAATAAATGACATATAGCCGTCTTATAACGCTTGTTTAGAATAAATACTTCGCCATTTCCGAAGAACAAACAAATGTAAGTGTAAGGTAATTTTGGAAATAATTGATGAAGAAAAAAAAAATCTTACTTTTAAGGCTCTGGAAGTAGAAGTGTGTTGCACCTCTCCCAGTATTCATTAAAGATATACCATTGCTTTCTTATAAATATCATCTCTTAAAGGGGTACTGTCTACTGTTCATGCATGTGTGGTTTCCTTTAAAGTTTGTGAAATTTCAGCTTCTCCTTAAGTAGGAGAATACATCTCTCAGTCCTTTGTACAACTGGAATTTCAGTTGCAAAAATTGGTTGTTGGTTGCACCTTTGAGGAAAAACACAAATACTTTCCTCCAGTTTTTCTTTTTATATTAGAATTCTGCCTTTTTATTACTAACATTAAAAACAGTGAGGTATATGTTGTTTTAAGCTAGTGCTGTATTCGGTTTTGTATCTATAATGAATGTTTAAAATATACATATGTAAACTGATCACATTAATTTTCTTAATCTTTCAGAGACACTGAAAGTGACTAAAACTTTTGGGGCACCTCCACTTCCCAGCTTTTTATGGAATGAATGAAATTAAGTGTTATGTTCACTATCCAATTGGGATTTCCTTCTAAACTTTTCTGTTTATTTCTGTGTTCTTTTGCTTTCATTGTCTATATAAAAAAGAAGCGGATAATAAAACATTGCTTTGTTTTGCTAATTAATGCTTTTTTGGGTTTCTTGTACTTCACATTGAAAAATGCACACTGCAGTATTTGTGTCAACGTGGAATTATAGACAAATTACTTGGCAAAATAGGTACTAACTAACCCTCTCTTCTTTTCATCTCATATTTTATGGCAATGAACTGTAAGGACACTTATTTCAAGAGTTAATACAACTCTGCAAAGCATGCAATGTTGATTAATTTTCTATGTTTACCAATGTCAACTAGTAGTATTTTCCAGCTACCAATTTGTTGGGGTTTTTTTTTTTTTCTGGACTAGCTTGGAAAAATTCTCTTTTGGACAGAGAGAATATGTAGGGTTAAAAATGTACAAGTGTTATCTAATCCTCTATAGTTGATGCAGCAGTTTGATAGCCTGAAATCTCATCAGCAGGAGGAAGGGAATTGGGACACTGTTTTCAAAGACTCTGCAATCTACTCCAGATGTGTCAAGTGCTGCATATTTTCCTTGCTATTTCCTGTGAAAGGGTTGGGAGCAGCTGGCTCTGTGGTTTGGAGACACCTGGCCAGCTTTGCTTTGTGTCTTAGTCGGGGAGGGGGCAGAGGGAAGATCCAGTATCTCAGTCAAGTTGACTGTAAACAGATTTTGTGTGAATGCAAATAAGGCTTTGAAGTTTGGGGCAAAAACAGCTGGGGGAGGGGAAAAGGGGAGAGAAAATTCCATTTTATTCAAGCAACAGGCATGAACATAATTTCTTGAGTTTTGTCATCTACTTTTATTGATGAGGACACCGCAGGAAGATGGACATCTTGAATGTAATTCGAGTGGCCTGTGACTCTTATTAATGTGTTTTTTTAAGTGATCTATCATTCACACTTCCGGTCCTCTTACAGAGAGGAGGTGGTCTTTAGGCTTTCACTTTGCTGTCTCGCTGTGGATGCAGTCCTCATCCCACAACACTTTTTAACCTGGTTTCAACACCATACTCTTCCTGGGTCCATTTCCCTCACTTTGAACGATGACAAGAAGTGAGGAAAAGTGGCTTTATTAATGTGCTATCGTAACATCAAAAAGCTTTTAATCTCCCTTCCACTTTTTTGAGAATGTTTTCCCACAGTACTCTGCATTAGTCCCTTGTGTGTGGTTGCTTGCCTTGTTCCTTTGAACAGAAAGTTCATCTTGTGAAATTACTATTGCTTCCTGGACTTTTGAAGAGAAGGTGAATAACCTCTGCTATGGAAATAGATCTCTCTCAGTATGGGAAAAAAAAAAAGACTAATCATGCTAAAACATGATCAGCAAAGGTGCACAGCTACCCAGAAACAGCAGAGTCCAGTATATCGTCTGTCCTTTGTGTTGTTCTTCTCTACCATCCCAAGATCCTTATCTTTTTTCTTTATAATTCCGAGGATACTTTTACCATCTGTATCTTTTCTCCTTAGCATATCCTTTCCATTTCCATGGCCTTTCTTCTCTCTCTGTGCACTTGCTATGCACCCTGCAAAGACAGGCAGAATGCTGCCCTACTGCATGGTGGCCGCAGTTGATAAATAAACCACCTAGCAATTTCTAGGGTTTTTTTAATTTCCTTCTCTGCAATGAAGATTTGTATTTTTATATGTCCATATCTTACAGGTAAGAACTCTTTAGATCCAATGACTGTCAGACAACTGAAAATGCTTAAAAATATATGGCTGCATCATCCACCTGTTGTAAGCATTGCGTGTACAAGTGAAATTAAACAGCAGCAGAATTTGGTTTAGGTATCTTTATCCTTTATCTCCTGAAGTGTCTGGATGATCAACTTGAAACATTTCTCTGATATGTAATTGTTTCCCCCTCACCCTTCCCAAATGAAAGAATAGTCAGTTTTCCTGGATTTTTGCCTGTAGTGTATTTTCTGCTTGAGGAAACTTGCATGCAGCGGGGATTAAAAGTATCGCAAACAGCATCAGCTCTCCAGCTATTGTTCTTTTTTTGTCTGTGTAAAACAGAAAGGTATATATTCAGAAAGTTTAAAATGTTTTGGTTCTTTCATACTGAAGGATGGTTACAGTTTTGCCCATGTTTTTGTCTGTTCCTGTAGTCTTCACTCTTATTTTTTCTTGTGGTCGAAGGAACACTGTGTTTATGAGGGTATCCTTGGTGTAATACGAGAAGTTATTTATTGATTCTTCATTGTGGATGGCTGCACAGATGCCCGTCCTCCTTAATTTGTAGCCCTGTGACTTCCAAATGCCCACTTGCACTTGGAACCAGCTGCTGCTGCTCTAAATTGTTTATTAGTAAAATAACTATAAAGCACATTTCACTTGGATGCGTTCAGTGATTGAGCCTTGTTGTTTAATATAATTGCAGTAGCATTGCTGATCAGTCCGTTTGCTGCTGCTGAGGGCTTGCTCCTGGAGTCTGAATTCTTAAATGTGTTTTTTCCATTCGTAGTGACTGGGTGTTTGAATTAAATGTGCAGGTTTTACTGCGGAAGCATTATTGGAATAAAGCCAGCGCTAATCGTGTAATTGGTTGCATGAGCACCTATGGGACCATTGCTTAGCTGGGCTGCTCTTCTTTGAGTCTCTGACTGACTTCTAATTAATGAAATAATTTGACAACATCTCTGGCAGCTTTCATAGAAAGTCTTTATGTGGATTTTCATCTCAAAGGATGACGAGTTGTTTTCGATGGATCAAATTTATCTCTTGAAACAAGGAGCTTCTGAAGACAGCCCTATCACTTCACTTCTCCGTGTACACAGAACAGTGGAAATAATTTCTGCAGATTAAAGTGATAAGCCAAATAGCAGTATTTCTACCTGAAATGTGAATCGGATCCCACTTAAAAGCTGTTACTTTGAGGATAGTCTGACACTGCAATTAAGCAAAACCAGGAATTTCTATTGTAAATAATTTATTGGCAGTCAGTTGGCGTGTTACTTTACTTTGGATTTTCAAGGGCTGCTGTTTTTCCCCTGAGGAGTCAAAAGTTTTGTTGAGGGTTGTTTTTTTGGTAGGAAACTTGCTACACTTGTTCCAGTTCTGCCGGTGTTCATCATAGCATGGACATATGTTAAATGCAAGAAATGCTGACAGCATAATCCCATGGTTAAAAAACTTTCAGTGTATGCATTCAGGAGACTTCAATGTTTCTGAATTCTGACTGAAAGCTGACATGACGTGTTGGACTCTGCAGGTTACGTATGGCATGGCTTGGGTGTTTGCCCCATTCCTCCTTCATAAAGATGCCGAGTGCTGCTACACAGCGTGCTCTGGATATATCATCTGGTTCAGGCTGAGATCGCTGTGTCTTGAGCAGAGATTCACTGTGGAGGGAGCAAGAGAAATGCAGGGAGGAGGAGTGCTTGGACCTTCAAATCTAGGTTTGCAACTGCTGACATAGCAGGGGTTTCTGGCAAGATGATGGGAGGGCCTCTGAGTGCAGTCCTCACCCCCTTCCTCCCCAGCTGACCTGCCACTTTATGTACCTACGTGATCTGTGCAAAGAGCCCTTAGGATTCCTTTTCTTCCTGGAGACAACTGCAATAGCAAACTCTCCACCACTTGGACAGAGAGAAGGAGGTCCCAACTGGCTGTGCACAAAGGTGCTTGGCCAGCAGTTGTTAGCCTAGCTGTCCCCATGGGAAATGCCTCTAGGAATGCAATCTGCAGCCCCGTCTTTGATTATACTGTGCAGCTTTCTCAACTCTTGCGACGCTGAGGTTTAACATCAGTGCATAAATCAGTGTTGTCAACTTTGTATTCCATCACAAATCTCATGATGCTGGGCAGCTTTCTTACCATTTTGCTTCGTGTGGTAGCTAC